GCTGGCGTTGAAGGAGAATTATCCAAATGTCATATTATTCTGGAGCGTGGATGGGAGCTCACAGCTGTGTCACTGTCAGTTCGTAACGTGGGCTACCTACACTCGGAGGCTATGGAATACTAGTACTGCTTGCGAGCGACCACTGCTGTCCTCTGTCCAACGTTTACTATCCTCCAGTCCTAACGCAAGGATTTTAACCCTTCATCTACGGAAAAGGTAAGTTTATTCAGATCCTCTAGGACAAAAAAATAAAATAACGTTTTTTGTTGTTGATCTACATTAGCCGATGCCAAATGGCGACAGCTAGTCTCACTGGTGTCCGACATTTAACGAAAAAGCCATTACAGACAACAGACTTGACAATTTAAACGGATCAAATCCACCAGTCAAACCACCAGTTCAAATAATTAAATAATTCAATTATTAAGGGTATTAAATTATGATACGTTAAAGCCTAGGGATTGTATTTTGGCCACAATCTAATCTAAAATACCATATAATTATAATATTTTAGGATTATTATAAAGTGAACGAATTTCAATGTCCACTAGCTAGCGCCATGTACATTCACAAATTGACAAGAACAATCCATTTCAAGAAAATCTGAGAGTTCTAAATGATATGTACACTTTTAATGAATATGCATATGTTTAAAAAACAGGTTAAGAACAGACACACGTTAAAAGTACAGCTCATAGATGTTACCCAAAATGACCAAACTAACTTTCGGATCCACCATTAACCATTCAGGTCCAAGTGATATAAGAATGTCCTCAAATACACATAATTAGCAAGGACCCCCAAACAACAGCATGGGCTGGTCAGACCAAACTACATGATTGATCATGTAAACCGAAAAAGGCACTTGGTGTGTATTTTATAGGTAGACACAGGGGAGAGGAGGAACATTTTAGAAAGAGAGAGACCGTTCCAATAGCCCTATCCACACTTGCATATCACTTAAAATGGAGTAATGTATTGGGCATGCATTCTAAGTGGTATGCTAGTGTGTTCATTGGAGCTAGGCCATGGACTCCAGTTCCATAGGTGTCATAGAGTCTTAGTGTGTTTGGTGGGAGAGATATCCACTGTGGTCTCCTGGCACTACCTCAGGTCATAATCACAGAGATGGAGAAACCACCCTGTGGGAGAGATATCCACTGTGGTCTCCTGGCACTACCTCAGGTCATAATCACAGAGATGGAGAAACCACCCTGTGGGAGAGATATCCACTGTGGTCTCCTGGCACTACCTCAGGTCATAATCACAGAGATGGAGAAACCACCCTGTGGTAGAGATATCCACTGTGGTCTCCTGGCACTACCTCAGGTCATAATCACAGAGATGGAGAAACCACCCTGTGGGAGAGATATCCACTGTGGTCTCCTGGCACTACCTCAGGTCATAATCACAGAGATGGAGAAACCACCCTGTGGGAGAGATATCCACTGTGGTCTCCTGGCACTACCTCAGGTCATAATCACAGAGATGGAGAAACGACCCTGTGGGAGAGATATCCACTGTGGTCTCCTGGCACTACCTCAGGTCATAATCACAGAGATGGAGAAACCACCCTGTGGGAGAGATATCCACTGTGGTCTCCTGGCACTACCTCAGGTCATAATCACAGAGATGGAGAAACCACCCTGTGGGAGAGATATCCACTGTGGTCTCCTGGCACTACCTCAGGTCATAATCACAGAGATGGAGAAACCACCCTGTGGGAGAGATATCCACTGTGGTCTCCTGGCACTACCTCAGGTCATAATCACAGAGATGGAGAAACCACCCTGTGGGAGAGAAAATGGCAAGAAGGTTTATAACTGTGCAACAGCCCTAAAGAACACAAATGGAAAGACAAGCTATATATGTTACTACCATTTTTAAATTCTTCATTCAAATAGAACTCAGATGTGGCATTGATTGATAATGATAATGATTGATGATTGATAATGATAGCATATCAACAGATGACCCAGACAGGAGAGCATCAGAGAGTTCAGGAACTCTGGCAGAGAGATGTGAAAGGGGTGGAACAGAGGAGAGTTAGTTAGTTAGTTACAGGAACTCTGCCATAGACATGTGAGAGGGGTGGAACAGAGGAGAGTTAGTTAGTTAGTTACAGGAACTCCGTCAGAGATATGTGAGAGCGGTGGAACAGAGGAGGGTTAGTTAGTTAGTTAATTAGTTACAGGAACTCTGTCAAAGATATGTGAGAGGGGTGGAAAATCATGGGCATTAATATGGAGTTGGTCCCCCCTTTGCTGCTATAACAGCCTCCACTCTTCTGGGAAGGCTTTCCACTAGATGTTGGAACATTGATGCAGGGACTTAAAATAATAATAATAATATGCCATTTAGCAGACGCTTTTATCCAAAGCAACTTACAGTCATGCGTGCATACATTTTTTTTTTGTGTATGGGTGGTCCCGGGGATCGAACCCACTACCTTGGCGTTACAAGCGCCGTGCTCTACCAGCTTGATTGGACTTGATTCCATTCAGCCACAAGAGCATTAGTGAGGTCGGGCACTGATGTTGGGCGATTAGGCCTGGCCCGCAGTCGGCGTTCCAATTCATCCCAAAGGTGTTTGATGGGCTTGAGGTCAGGGCTCTGTGCAGGCCAGTCAAGTTCTTCCACACCAATCTCGACAAACCATTTCTGTATGGACCTCGTTTTGTGCACAGGGGCATTGTCATGCTGAAACAGGAAAGGGCCTTCCCCAAACTGTTACCACAAAGTTGGAAGCACAGAATCGTCTAGAATGTAATTGTATGCTGTAGCGTTAAGATTTCCCTTCACTGGAACTAAGGGGCCTAGCCCGAACCATGAAAAACAACCCCAGACCATTATTCCTCCTCCACCAAACTTTACAGTTGACACTATGCATTGGGGCAGGTAGCGTTCTCCTGGCATCCGCCAAACCTAGATTTGTCCACCGGACTGCCAGATGGTGAAGCGTGATTCATCCCTCCAGAGAACGTGTTTCCACTGCTCCAGAGTCCAATGGCAGGGAGCTTTATACCACTCCAGCCGACGCTTGGCATTGCGCATGGTGATCTTAGGCTTGTGTGCGGCTGCTTGGCCATGGAAACCCATTTCAGGAAGCTCCCTACGAACAGTTCTTGTGCTGACGTTGCTTCCAGAGGCAGTTTGGAACTCGGTAGTGAGTGTTCAAATCAAATCAAATCTTATTGGTCACATGCACCGAATACAACAGGTGTAGACCTTACAGTGAAATGCTTACTTACAAGCCCTTAACCAACAATGCCGTTTCAAGAAAGAATCCCTAAAAGTAAAAAATAATTAAAGAGCAGCAGGAAAATAACAATAGCGAGGCTATATACAGGAGGTACCGGTACCGAGTCAATGTGCGGCAGCAGTGGTTAGTCGAGGTAATTGAGGTAATATGTACATGTAGATAGAGTTATTAAAGTGACTATGCATAGATAATAAACAGAGAGTAGCAGCAGCGTAAAATAGGTGGGGGGGTGCAATGCAAATAGTCTGGGTAGCCATTTGATTAGATGTTCAGGAGTCTTATCGCTTGGGGGTAGAAGCTGTTTAGAAGCCTCTTGGACCTAGACTTGGCGCTCCGGTACCACTTGCCGTGTGGTAGCAGAGAGAACAGTCTATGACTAGGGTGGCTGGAGTCTTTGACAATTTTTAGGGCTTTCCTCTGACACCGCCTGGTATAGAAGTCCTGAATGGCAGGAAGCTTGGCCCCAGTGTTGTACTGGGCCGTACACACTACCCTCTGTAGTGCCTTGTGGTCGGAGGCTGAGCAGTTGCCATACCAGGCAGTGATGCAACCAGTCAGGATGCTCTCGATGGTGCAGTGTAGAACCTTTTGAGGATCTGAGGATCCATGGCAAATCTTTTCAGTCTCCTTAGGTGGAATAGGTTTTTTCGTGCCCTCTTCACGACTGTCTTGGTGTGCTTGGACCATGTTAGTTTGTTGGTGAACAAGTACAGACTATTTTTATGTGCTACGCGCTTCAGAACTCGGCAGTCCAGTTCTGTGAGCTTGTGTGGCCTACCACTTCGCGGCTGAGCCATTGTTGCTCCTAGACGTTGCCACTTCACAATAACAGCACTTACAGTTGACCGGGGCAGCTGTAGTAGGGCAGACATTTGACGAACTGACTTGTTGGAAAGGTGGCATCCTATGACGGTGCCACGTTGAAAGTCACTGAGCTCTTCAGTAAGGCCATTCTACTGCCAATGCTTGTCTATGGCGATTGCATGGCTGTGTGCTCGATTTTATACACCTGTTAGCAATGGGTGTGGCTGAAATAGCCTAATCCACTAATTTGATGGGGTGTCCACATACTTTTGTATATATAGTGTATGTGAGATGGGTGGAACAGAGGCGGGTTAGTTAGCTAGTTAGTTGGTTAGTTAGTTAGTTCAGGGGTTCCCAAACTTTTCACTCAGGCCCCCCTTCCAGCATTGGGGAACATCTCGCGCCTCTCCTGCTCGCTCGCACGCCTCGTCTATTTCTATGGGCACAAGCACGGTTTATGACACAAACTGTTCACACCCCTCTTGTTGGTGGAGAGAACATTTTGCAGGTTTAAAGCTTATTTCCTGCAATTCTACACATTTTGTCACGGGGTGCAGAGAACATTTTGCAGTTTTACAGCTCATTTTCTTGCAATTCTATACATTTTGACATGTCTAATGTGTATTCATGTGATATTTGAGAGACTCAAACATTACAACAAAATCCATGGGCTAAAAAACCTAGCTAAAAAACGTTAGCTAGTAGATCTGGACATTTCTGACGAGCTCTCTAAGGCCGGGTTTCCCAAACTCGGTCCTGGGGCTCCCCCTGGGTGCACGTTTTGTTTTTTGCCCTAGTACTACACAGCATTCCACAATCATATTAATAGACAAACTAGCTTTGGAGGTAGCATTCAGAACACCCTGTGGTAATAGTACCATTATACAATATTTCATCTGGTGAATGTGTTTGATACAGTGTACAGGTAAATGACCTGGTGAATATGTCGTACGTAAGGGTCCTCCACCCAGACCTCAGTGAGCCCCTCGGTGCTGTAGGGTATGAACAGAGCCTCATAGCCATAGCCTGTAGCGTCCTCCGCTATCCTGATCTGCTCATGGTACTTCCCCTCTGAGTGGGAGAGGAGAGGAGAGGGGAGGAAGGGGAGGAGGAAGAAGAGGAAGGAAGCAGTAAGATGCAGGAAAGGATTCCTTTAAGGAAGTGACATCATCTCGCTGACTGAGCTCTATTATCTTCTTTTAGTTGGTTGATATCAGTGGAGGCTGCTGAGGAGAGGACGGCTCATTATAATGGCTGGGACAGAGCAAATGGAATGGCATCAAACACATGGAAGCCAGCCATTACCACGAGCCCGTCCTCCCCAATTAAGGTGCCACTGACCTCCTGTGGTTGACATGGACTTTGCTCTCTTCTGCTCGGTCCATGTAGCCCTTTATCTTCTGTTTATAGTGGACATTATTTGAGTCATATTTCACAGCTGTGGGACAGACGAGTAGATCAGTAAAACAGATGTCACCCATACCCAACTGGCTGTGTGTGTTGCCTTTCAGCACGTCCATCAGCAGCGGGATCCCCTCCTGGTAGCACACTAGCGACTCCTGGAAGCGCGAGCTCTGGTCCAGCACCACTGCTCGCTTCAGGACAGAGATGGCAGAGGTCTCCATACCAGGGACTTGAGCCACGGTTCACTATCTGGTTAAAATGGACTAACATTTTGAGGAAATTGTGGATATTTGTCATTCACCTGGTTAGAGTATGTAGCCACAGGAATTTTAAAGGCCTATTCGTTTGAATCAGCTTGCCATATCAACAGTCTTCTTGCTTGGGCAATACAATGCATCAATAGACCATTCTTAAACGTGTATGGGATTGTTTAAACTTGTCATGCTTAGAGCATATCTAAATCAGATGAATCTTTTAGCTTAATTCCATTTATTCAAACCTACATCTAATCAAAATCTGATGTCACTGAAACTTGCCGATATTGGTTGATTTGCTGCCGTCATTACAGAGGTACGAAACACTAATAATTCCCCTGAGCAACATATTGTAGCGATATGAAATCTAAAATGTCTATAGAAATGTAAAGACATTCTTAGGAAATATGTGGGTAAAAATAATCAAACTATATAACCATACAATATAAGATAGTAACGAACCGCAACATGTATCTAAAAGGAACATTGAATAATTAATGAAAGCCATGCAGGAACAATAAAGATCAAGTTTTGAAGTAGTACGGTGATATTTAGAAGTGACTTCTATGCCGATGACTTCGGTTTCCACTAGTTACCACAGCCACAAAGTAGAAAAAAGGGCTATATCGTAAAAAAATCGCTAAACAAAAATGTGCTTTTTGGTCTTAATTTAAGGTTAAGGTTATGCATAAGGTTATCATTGCGGTTAAGGCTACGGTTACGGTTAGGTTTAAACGAACATTTTAAAGAAGATAAATTGTAGAAATAGGGGGGGTTTATGACTTTGTGGCTGTAGTGATGACCGATTACTTCCGACATCCGTTGAATGTCATAAGTGCGAAAACGTGAAAATCCTCTGTGAATCCTGAAGCGTTATTTTAGCTGTATTTCGATTTTGTTTAGAATGTAGCTAGTTTGTATGAAATTTTTGAAACAACATTTATATCTCGGTAGGTTTCAGTATTTGCCTCGGCCCATCCTCATATGATGGTTTTTGGACTATAACCCAAAATGGTTTACAAACTCTGTGCTATAACATTGGCGTCCCTGCACGCATCTATCAACCAACAAGTAAAAACATGGCAATGCTATGTCGTGGGCTTCACATATTTTCCCCAATTCAGGTAAGGATGGTCTAGTTTATTAAAGGAAAATGATCTTTCTGGCAGGCAGTTGTAACTAAGCTATCAGTCAAATGACTGGTTGTTTAAACAACACATTGTGTAGGGTTTTCCATACAGGGAAAAAAATACATTTACAATATATATTTTTGGAAGCGTTGTATGTGAAATTAAAAAAATTGGCCAAATGTATTTTTTATGAATTTGTAAATGTATTTTAATTCATGACATACATTTAGTAAATGTATTTGGAATACATACATTTGTTTGGAAATATATAATTTGGCAAATGTTTGAAAATATTTTTTCGGTATGGGATAATCTGAGTTGACTCCTCCTTCATAGTTAGTACAACATTCACTTCATGTGTTGCATATTTGATGATACATTATTTCTGTGTATTATTCTAGGCTTTAACAGAAACGACGCCTCTGCCTTGGTTAATTTCATTCCGCAGCAAGTTCACCAGAGCACGGATTCCACAAGAGGTAGGGTGGGCGGTGCTGCAGACTTTCATCCCAGGGCAGGCCCTACATCTAAATGCAATGAATGCCTCAACTCAAAGCTACAGTTTCTTACCTAATGTTACTTAAACTTTGGTCATAGTCTAATGGCAGTGATGTAATGGAAATTTCATTTTTAAATAAACCCTGGGACTCTTATGAATCCATGGTAAATCTGTCTTTCTGTGTCTGCAGTTGCTGGACGAGCGGGCTCAAGAGCATGAGAAGTATGGTGGAAATCCGGAGCAGCCCAGTAAACTGCACGTGGTGACGCGGGTCAAAAGCACCATGCGCCGACCCTACTGGGAGAAGAAGCTATATTATTATTATTATTATTATTATTATTATTAAGCTAGTGGAGGGACTCTGCTGCAGAAGGTGGGGTTCATATCAGTTTAGATTAATAACTTCTCATCTGGGGGGCTAGCCTAGTGGTGGGAAATCTTAACCTGTGAGGTCTGGGTGCAGGCTTTTGCTCCAGCCAAGTAGTAATACACCTGATTCTACTAAGTGAAGATTGCCCACCTCTAGACTCTAATAAGTGTCTGTGTTTTGCATAGTGTTACCCTTTTCTCTTCCAAGACTTGTATTTAGTTCAGTTATCTGTGCTCTGTACTTGAGGTCATGCAGTGAAGTTGTAATGATGAGTCTGATTGCTAACTTGGCTCTACTCTGATTGCAGTGGTGTAAAGTATTGAAGTAAAACTATTTTAAAGTACTACTGAAGTTGTTTTTGGGGGGTACAGTGCATTCAGAAAGTATTCAGACCCCTTGACTATTTACACATTTTGTTACGTTACAGCCTTATTCTAAAATTGATTAAATAGTATGTTTCCCTCATCAATCTACTCACAATACCCAATAATGTCAAAGCAAAAACAGGTTTAGACATTAAAACATTTTACATTTACATAAGTATTCTGACCCTTTACTCAGTACTTTGTTGAAGCACCTTTGGCAGCGATTACAGCCTCAAGTCTTCTTGGGTATGACACTACAAGCTTGGCACACCAAACTCCAAGCGGGCTGTCATGTGCCTTTTACTGAGGAGTGGCTTCTGTCTGGCCACTCTACCATAAAAGCCTGATTGGTGGAGTGCTGCAGAGATGGTTGTCCTTCTGGAAGATTTTCCCTTCTCCACAGAGGAACTCTGGAGCTCTGTCAGAGGGACCATCGGGTTCTTGGTCACCAAGACCCTTCTCCCCTGGTTGCTCAGTTTGGCCGGGCGGCCAGCTTTAGGAAAGGTCTTGGTGGTTCCAAACTTCTTCCATTTAAGAATGATGGAGGCCACTGTGTTCTTGGGGACCTTCAATGCTGAATAAATGTTTTGGTACCCTTCCCCAGATCTGTGCCTCGACACAATCCTGTCTCGGAGCTCTACAGACAATTCCTTCGACCTCATGGCTTGGTTTTTGCTCTGACATGCACTGTCAACTGTGGGGCCTTATATAGACAGGTGTGTGCCTTTCCAAATCATGTCCAATCAATTGAATTTAACCAAGGTTGGACTCCAAGTTATAGAAACATCAAGGATAATCAATGGAAACAGGATGCATCGGAGCTCAATTTCTTGTCTGAATACTTATGTAAATGTAATATTTCCATGTTTTATTTATAAATTAGCAAACATTTCAAAAAAACGTTTCGCTTTGTCATTATGGGGTATTGTGTGTAGATTGAGGATTTTGAAATGATGATACTTTTACTTTTGATACTTGAGCATATTTTAGCAATTACATTTACTTTTGATGCTTTTTTACTGGATGACTTACTTGAGTAATTTTCTATTAAGGTATCATTACTTTTACTGAAGTATGACAATTGGGTACTTTTTCCACCACTGTGATTTTTCATTGCTCCTCCTCTACTCAGGCATACATACCTGTAATTCACAAGAACATCCCTTCAGTCAACAACCAGCTGAAATGTATCAAACACCTTGTGAGGTAAGACCTAAGTTATTAATTTGACATTAGTACAGGGCTAATATCACATACATAATTTAATTCCTGTGAAGTATATGCTGCTGTATACCTGTTGAGTGTCATGTGAAATCCATAGATTTAAGGCCTACTGAACTTATTTCCGTTGACTGATTTCCTTTTATGAACTTAAATTGTTGCATTTATATTTTTGTTCAGTGTATAACCACATTCATTACAGAATACCATTGATCCCTCGTTCTCTCTGTCCAGGATCCAGCCACTCAAGCTGCCCCATGGTCTCCCTGATGAGGAAGCTGTGGCAGACACCTACCTGAACAACAAAGGAGAGCTGATCGTACGCCACCTTCTCAAACCTGTAGAGCCCAAAGCCTTCAAGTCATAGCTAGCACTACTCTAGCCAAGTCTCCCCCCCCAGTCCTGTTTGAATACTTTGAAAATGCATCCTCCCTTCCTTGAGGGAATCACTGATCAAACATGACTAGATTGGCTATGCAGTGCATCATGCTATCCAATTATAATGAAGGAATTGTGCATTAACTGTCCAGTAAGGCTGAATAAGTAGTTTGTCTGGCCTATCAGAAATCCATGATTCAGATGACTATCAGTAAAATCCCTGTACGTGTGTTCATTCTAGACCTGGACTGAGACCTGTCTATCCTATCCCTTTATGTTTCAAACAAAAATATCCATGGAATCAAAAGTAAGTCAGAGGGAAATGCAAAGCGCCAGTGATGATCAGCTTATTTTATTAAGATCAAACTAATTTTTATAGAAAACCTCAAACCTGTGCTACCATCACACACTGACAAGACTGGAAGGAGGAGGATGGAGGTTGTGGAATGAAGCTGGCACTTGGTTGTTGCTAATGAACCACTGGATAATGAGTTCGCCCACGCATCGGTTCAACAAAGGCAAATGACATGGATCGATGTTAATGTAGCTAGCTTTACGGTTAGTAAGGATGGTTATGTTGAAATTGCGAGTCCATAAATTAGAATCAAATCTGTTATGATAATTGAGGGTAAACGCATCAAGGCTGAGGGTCAGGTTTTAGACTTCAATTGGAATCAAATGAAACATTTCAGCGCATAACTATTTCAAGGGGAGCCAGTCAGCAGAATGAGAGTTCAGTGGCTCAGACAGGAATCCTCCTTTTACTTGCCAGTCGAATATAAATAACCGAAAAGCTAGTGAACGTATTGCAAATGAACTAAAAAATATGATTTAAAGTCCATACACAATTAAGTCTGAATTTCATCCATAAAATGAATGGGAAAAGAAAGCATGGAAGACTAGAATAAATAAGGAAATTACAGAAGGGGGAAGGAAATGAAAACTGGAGGAGATGGTTCTGCCGGTTAGTTGGTATTAGCCCTGAGAGAGAGACAGAGGTTGAAGGCTGACAGGGTCTTCTAGTCATCTTCAGAACCAGAGTCTGAATCGTGTCCTCTCCCTCTGATGGTCTTCTTCTCCACCTTGGTGAACTTTGAACCAGATTTCTGTGTCAGGGTGGGGGGTTCCATTAGGTTACCACTGGAGGAGAAGACCAGGGTAGAGAGGTGTTATGACATCACATGACAGGTAGGACTGTTAAATGGATACTTTGAGATTTTGGCAATGAGGCTCTTTATCTACTTCCAGAGTCAGATTACCTTTTTTTTGTCTATATACACAATTTTTATGTCTGTGTCCAGTATTAAGTAAGTTAGAGGTAGGTTTGTGAGCCAATGCTAACTAGCGTTAGCGCAATGCCTGGTAGTCTATGGGCATTGGCTAGCATGCTATCTAGTATCCCTTTATAAGACTAATCAGCATGTGGTTGTGCATGAACAGATAAGACTTTCTATTCCTTTGCACATGAACCAATGGCCTCATGCCTGACAGGAAATACCTAGACGGATCATCATCCTAGCTAGAGGTGTGATTATCTGTAGGAAATCACTCCTGTCTGTGTACCTGTAGTTGATGACGTCAGAGCAGCCCAGTCGCCACTCCAGCACCTCTGTGGGGAACTCGTCAGTGTTCCCCAGGTCGGTGAATCCCACCACGTAATCCTTGGTCTTCCCGTCCTTAACCAGCGCCAGCGTGGGAATCACCTTGATCCGCAGCCTCTCTGTCAGGAACGGCGCCTTGTCCACATTCAGCTTGATGAACTTAGTCTCCAGGTGCTTCTTGGCCAGGATGCCCAGGTGCTTGTCCAGGATCTTGCATCTTTATAATGCAGGGGGGAGGAGACAGCAGGGTTAGCTCCTGGTAGAAGCTGCAATTAAGGTTTACTGGGCAATAAATCCCTTTCTAATCCTTTTCTTAGGATTTGGGGTGGGTAAGGTCACCCCGGATATATGCTCAATTCATTAGCAGCAGTAAATAGGTTTGCGGCCTGGAACGGCAGAAGGAGAAGAACAGGAAAAGAGGAAAACATTGCTGTGTTGCCAACCTGAAGGTGGAGTCTCTGTAGAAATGGCAGACCACACGATTGCTCTCCTTCACCTCGGGGAAGAAGTCTTTCTCACTGGGGATCTCCTTGTACTCCCCATGCCCTTTAGACAGCCACTCCTTATGGGACAGAGCACAAAGATGCCATGATAAGTTGTTACTGGTATGAAATACAATATCTATACACACAAAAGTATGTGGACACCCCTCCAAAATTAGTGGATTTGGCCATTTCAGCCACACCCATTGCTGACAGGTGTATACAATCGAGCACAGCTATGTAATCTCCATAGACAAACATTGGCAGTAGAATGGCCTTACTGAAGAGCTCAGTGACTTTCAACGTGGGACCGTCAAAGGATGCTACCTTTCCAACAAGTCTGTTCGTAAAATTTCTGCCCTGCTAGAGCGCCCCCGGTCAACTGTAAGTGCTGTTATTGTGAAGTAGAAACGTCTAGGAGCAACAATGGTTCAGCCGCGAAGTGGCAGGCCACACAAGCTCACAGAACGGGACCACCGAGTGCTGAAGCGCGTAAGAATAGTCTGTCCTCGGTTGCAACACTCACTACCGAGTTCCAAACAGCCTCTGGAAGAAACGTCAGCACAATAACTGTTTGTCGGGAGCTTCATGAAATGGGTTTCCATGGCTGAGCAGCCGCACATAAGCCTAAAATCACCATCCGCAATGCCAAACGTCGGCTGGAGTGGTGTAAAGCTTGCCGCAATTGGACTCTGTTGCAGTGGAAACGCGTTCTCTGGAGTGATGAATCACCCTTCACCATCTGGCAGTCCAACGGACAAATCTGGGTTTGGCGGATGCCAGGAGAACGCTACCTGTCCCAATGCATAGTGCCAACTGTAAAGTTTGGTGGAGGAGGAATAATGGTCTGGGGCTGTTTTTCATGGTTTGGGCTAGGCCCCTTAGTTCCAGTGAAGGGAAATCTTAGATGATTCTGTGCCTCCAACTTTGTGGCAACCGTTTGGGGAAGGCCTTTTCCTGTTTCAGCATGACAATGCCCCCGTGCACGAAGCAAGGTCCATACAGAAATGGTTTGTTGAGATCGGTGTGGAAAAACTTGACTGGCCTGTACAGAGCCCTGACCTCAACCCTATCTAATACCTTTGGGATGAACTGGAACGCCGACTGCAAGCCAGGCCTAATCGCCTAACATGAGTCCCCGACCTCACTAATGCTCGCGGCTGAATGGAAGCAAGTCCCCGCAGCAATGCGCCAACAGCTAGTGGAAAGCCTTCCCAGACGAGTGGAGGCTGTTATAGCAGCAAAGGGGAACCAACTCCATATTAATGCCCATGTTTATGATTTTGGAATGAGATGTTCAATAAGCAGGTGTCCACATAGTGCAAGTCATGTAGTGTAAGTGGATGGACTAAAGCAAAGGCGATCCTCAGCCTTTCCTACCTGCTTCTGTTTCTGGGATTTCTTGAGGGCCTCCATCCTCCTCTCCTTCAGCTTTTCCATCTCGTCATCATCCATACGCTCCAGCTTCCCCAGCTCTTTGTCCAACTGCTCCTCCACCATTCTGGCTGACTGCAGCACCTGCTGCTCCAGCGCTTTGGCCATGATCTCCATCGACTGACTAGCCATGATGAAAAGCTTTATGAAACTGACACACTCACTCTATTCTTGAGATGAGGAGAGACGAGTGAAGGGAAGAGTAGAAGATAATTTTATAGATTGCATTTCAGAGATTGCATTTCTATGGTTGGCCCTACGATTAAGCCAACTAACTAATAACCCTGGCTGGTGATCATGGAAACGACACACCTTGATGTTTTAAATCGAGCACAACCAACTAGATAGTTACAGTAGCTAACGTAAATTACTACCTAGCGTAGTAAACTCAACTCGATATCCATATTACAGGGAACTACAACTACTAGCTAACCAGTTTAAGTGATTCCCCTTTAGAAAGTTATCCAACTAGTCTTACAAGATACAACTTTAAACAGTAACGTTGGTTAACTATTTTGAAAGTTGCCATTTGATTCCCCACCTACCAATTACCATTGTCTATTAGCTTTCTTGCTAATTAACGTTAGCTAACTGCTGACGTTAGCCAAAGACAAAGTCCCAGTTGAACAAGAGATGTCAGATATATGTTCGTTAGTTAGCCTACTATTAATCGGACCAGCTTTGAGACAAAGTAGAGAAATAGGTAAAAAATGAACAAAGGAACAATCACTGGCGTCGTTTTAGCCTAGCTTGCTAGCTACATTAAGGTATAGCTGTTAGCTAGGCTAACAACTGCGTGGCCAGAGAACGCTGGGTAGCTAGCTAACTAGCTGGCTAACGTTAGCGAGCTGTCATAAACGACCAAGACCTCGCCCAGACACTGAAGCTAGAAGACCACAACAAAAACAAACCACTCATTTTAATAGGGCCGACTGAATGTATTATTTGCAGATGACTTTATCAATATTACAACGCTAACAAGCTGGCTAGCCTACTCACCAAAAGCGGTCCGTGCACAAAGGCAGAACCCAGGCTCAGTCTCGTATCTTTGCAGTCTGCAGCGCGCGCTCAGTCTTCTACACAGTATGACCAATATTTTACGTCACAGTTATATAATAGAAGGTTGCTCCCTGCTGGATAAGAAGGAACTGTGCAGTGTTGGCAATTTAGCGACTTTGTCGCTATTTTTTAGCGAGTATTCAGACCCCTCTAGCGACACATTTTCAAAAAAATCGACTAACGACAAATCTAGCGACTTTTTCTGGTGTTATTTGGATACTTTTGGAGACTCTTGACGTGAAAGCACGTATCGTTCTTACTCTTCTCAACGAGCAGCGGGTGCTGCCGTGGGCCCTACCCCGTGGGCCCCACCATCCAAAAAGCACTCACAGGCGGCCCAGTCCTCGCGCAGCAGTCCCTCCCAGCTGCAGTCAGAGCAAGAGATGTTCACCCCTCTGCGTCCAGACTGCAAACGAATGCGTGCGGGCTGGCTGATCCCGCCCTGGCTTACATTCAGGGCGGAATGTAAATGTAAAATGTTCTTTGTCTAAAATAAATTACTGCACAAATATAAATCACTGCATTTGACTCACACAGCCTCAGTCACTTACTCACCTCGTCCACTGTGTGTGTGCCTCTCTGTGACATAAGATAAACATCTAGCTGGCTAGCTCATCATGTCTCAGTCTCTAAACTGTACACTCAAAAATACAGAAAGGAGTGGGAATCAAACCCTGAATTCAAAGGCTGGTTGAAGCCGTTTATTGGAGATGATACACGGGCATACTGCCTGTATTGTAAGGCTGATTTCTACACCAAACTTAGTGATGTAAAAAAACACATGACAACTCAAAAACATACTCAAAAGGCAAAGCCTTATTACAGTTCCATCCAAAACAAGCTGCCATTTATGGTTTAAAAAAAAGACTGCAAAAAAGGCTGAGGCCACCATGGCATTAGCTATCACTGAACACTGTTCTATGCTGGCATGTGATCACATTGGAGAAGCATGTAGAGCTGCTTTCTCAGACTCCACTGCTGCTACCCACTTCAAAATGCACAGGTCAAATTGCACAGAAATGATTAATGGTGTTCTAGCACCATACTTTCTGAAAAAGTTGGTCGCTGGTTTGGGTGACCAGCATTTCAGCCTCCTCCTCGATGAGTCCATGGACGTAAGTGTTTCTAAGTACCTGGGGGTTGTGATAAGGTACTTTAGTGACACCAAGCAGACAATTGTATCAACATTTCTGGGGCTTGTTGAGTTGGAGGGAGGAGATGCCAAATCTATAGCCCGTGCTGTTGTGGCTTTCCTCGAGAAGTGTTGTCTTAAAAAATAGAAAATCCTGGGGATATGGACTGACAATTCCTCTGTTATGACGGGGATTAACAATGGGGTCCATAAAGTGCTGAAGGAGGAGTATGGCCTCAAAGATCTGGTTCTTATTTGCTGTGTGTGCCACTCGCTGCAGCTTACTGTAAGTCATGCTTCCAATGACACTATCCACCGTAGTGTGGAGTACTTGGTACGAGAGACTTTTAACTGGTTTTCAGTGTCTCCAAAGCGCAGGGAGGCCTACAAGGCCATGTATGAGACCATCAACTGTGGGGAGAAACCTTTACAGATAACCAAGGTGTGTGCCACACGTTGGCTCTCCATTGAGCCTGCGGTTTCACGCATTTTGGACCAGTGGGAGGAGCTTAGGCTGCATTTCGCAGTCACCAAGTCCAGTGAACACTGCTACATGGCTGAGGTTTTATATCCATGTACAGTGATCCTCAAAACATATTGTATCTGACTTTTTTTAAGTCAGTGCTGGGTGAGGTACAGTTGGCCATCAAGGCTTTTGAGGGAGAGCAAGTAGATCCTCTTAAGCTACTTGACAGCTTGGTTAGCCTGATCAAGTCTGTGAGCAGCAGGGTGCTGAATCCACTGGCAAATGTTGATGTACTCAAAGGGCCAATAGATGGATACATCAGTCCCAAACCGTACCTTGGTTACCTTTTTGAGTCAAAGGCAGCTGAGCTCCACCTTGCGCCTGAGGATGAAAACAATGCCCGAAAGCGGTGTGTAGCCTTCACCATCTCCCTCACTAATGAGTTGAGGGTGAGACTGTCGGACAACATCGAAGCATTGCAGTACATGTCAGTTTTCAATGTGGAGGAAACTCTAAAGCACAATAAGAGCCCTGGAGAAATAGAAAAAATAGCCAAGTTCCTTGGCTACTCCCCTGCAGAGATAGACAAGATTGTCCAGCAATGGCGTACCATCCATCTTAGTAAATGGAATGAGACAAAAAACACACAGGGCTTCTGGAGTGAGATTTGGAAGTTCAGGGATGCAGCTGATATCACCCCGTTTCAAGAACTTGCCATGGCTGCTGTGTCTGTGTTGTCCATGCCACACTCGAATGCTGAAGTCGAGAGAGTATTCAGCCAGATGAGTGTGGTAAAAAGCAAACTTAGAAATCGGATGTCCTTGCAGACCCTTACAGACCCTTACAGTGATACAGCCTGGGCTCCCGAGTGGTGCAGCGGTCTAAGGTCCCAAGCCCGGATAAAGGAGGAGGGTTGGAATTGTGACATAAAAAAAAACAAGAATCGACAGAAGAAAGTTCATTTGTAGTTCTAAACATATTTAGGGTGTTTTTAACTCACTTTTTGTCTCTCCCACAATGTTATACATTTTTTACATTTACATTTTAGTCATTTAGCAGACGCTCTTATCCAGAGCGACTTACAGTTAGAGAGTGCATACATTATTTTTATACTGGCCCCCCGTGGGAATCGAACCCACAACCCTGGCGTTGCAAACGCCATGCTCTACCAACTGAGCTACATCCCTGCCGGCCATTCCCTCCCCTACTCTGGACGACGCTCTGCCAATTGTGCGCCGCCCCATGGGTCTCCCGGTCGCGGCCGGCTACGACAGAGCCACTTATTCCTCTCTCCTACAGCGTCCATCACAATTACATGCACATGGCCAATTATGCAAATTAGGTGATGACATCATTTAATGACGTCTAGCGACTTTTAGGACAGCCAATAGCTTTTTCTGAGCCAGTCGAAATCACGCATCAACGTCATTATCATGGACATATCCAAGTAAATTCCAATAGGACAAAAATCTCAAACAAACGAAAATGCAGCTAGTGTACTGTCATTCCAGGTTCAATGTTTCAAGTGACTGAGTTAGCTGAAGTTGGCTAGCTAGTAAGTGACAAGAACGTTATCCAGCCTGCACAGCAACCATTGTTTTTAGAACGGACAACCAGTCCTTTCGCATAGCAACTAAGCAAAAAAAAGATATACAATGCCTTCGGAAAGTATTCATACCCCTTGACTTTTTCCACATTTTGTTACATTACAGCGTTATTCTAAAATAGTCCACAATCTTCTCCTTTGTCTTGATCACGTTGAGGGAGAGGTTGTTATCCTGGCACCACACGGCCAGGTCTTGGACCTCCTCCTTATAGGCTGTCTCACCGTTGGCCTACCACTGTTGTGTCGTCAGCAAACTTAATGATGGTGTTGGAATCGTGCCTGGCCATGCAGTCATGGGTGAACAGGGAGTACAGGAGGGGACTGAGCACGCACCCCTGAGGGGCCCCCTTGTTGAGGATCAGCGTGGCAGATGTGTTGTTACCTACCCTTACCACCTGGGGGCGGCACGTCAGGAAGTCCAGGATCCAGTTGCAGAGGGAGGTGTTTAGTCCCAGGATCCTTAGCTTAGTAATGACCTTTGAGGGCACTATGGTGTTGAACGCTGAGCTGTAGTCAATGAACAGCATTCTCACGTAGGTGTTCCTCTTGTCCAGGTGGGAAAGGGCAGTGTGGAGTGCAATAGAGATTGCATCATCTGTGGCTCTGTTGGGGCGGTATGCAAATTGGAGTGGGTCTAGGGTTTCTGGGATAATGGTGTTGATGTTAGCCATGACCAGCCTTTCAAAGCACTTCATGGCTACAGACGTGAGTGCTACGGGTCGGTAGTCATTTAGGCAGGTTATCGTGTCCTTGGGCACAGGGACTATGGTGGTCTGCTTGAAACATGTTGGTATTACAGACTCAGTTAGGGACATGTTGAAAATGTCAGTGAAGACACTTGCCAGTTGGTCAGCACATGCTTGGAGTAC